TCAAGCAAAACAAAAAATATTATGAATTTGCAAACTAATTATTACATTTAAAGGTAAAAATAATTGAATATTTATCCAAAAGACACAATGGGACTTTTATAATTAGTCCTCTAATCATTGATAAATGTACACATTGCCATGACAAGTCAACTTTCAGCATTAATTTTGTTCCTAATTTTTTAACTGCTGAAAAAAAATGTATCTTAGTATACAAATAAATGAAAACTAGATCAGGTTTTATTATGCAGATGTCTCACAATTATTTAACATTTTCTGAGTTATTTGCCAAAAATCACATAGTACTGCACAATAAATAGTTACTATCTTGCATTATATCCTACTTGATAACTTGAGCAAATTCTCTCTTAATTTGTTTAAAGCAAATAATTGGAAACTTCCTGACTTGCTAAAATATTGTTACATAGCTATTAAAATAATGCAATTGCCTTAAAACTCTTCCCCAGTCATTCTAATTGTCCCTGTGTTAGAGCCCTGAGCTTGTTACACTTTGAGTCCCTGAATCTTAGATTGAGAAAGAGTGAAGGGGTAGGGGATGTGGGAAAGGACCATTGAGAAATGCCCGCCTTGAAACCAGGAGTGTTCTTGAACAGATCAGTGTTAGATAAAATCTGTATGGTAGTTGATGATTAGGAAACTGATCACTTTGAGGAAACCTGAGATCTTGAACTTTTAAAAACTATACCTTCCTGTGTTCCCCATAGTAAAATTAACCTAGTTTGATAATGTTGCATTAGACCACTGAAACCCAGTCCCTGAAAAGTAAAAGGAGTAGCTATCTACCACCTATACCATTCCCTATTTTGTGGTACCCATACTCCCCAGAAAAAGATATTGAGTGTTTAAATAAGTTCACCATGGGTACATGGTAAAGAAGTGACCAAGGCATATGAAGACCATCTTCATCTATTGACTTTAGGAATCAGAATTTAAACATTTGAATTTGTGCTATATATAATCAGTGTGTGTGGGGGGAGGGTATCTAAACTCTCCGTAACATTGGGAAATATATTAATTTAATTATGTGCCTTAACAGGACAAAGGAAACTTTCTATATGAACTACATATGTTGGTGTAAAAAGGCTTTTCATGATATCCCAAATCATTTTGGACTTGTGGGGGAAAATCTTATTGCTGAGCACATTTTTAGGGGTCTGCCCTGCCCTGAAAAAATTTTCAGTTATCAACAAAATGTAGCTCACTTCTAGCTGAACATTTTAGAAGAAAAAGGACAGTGATGCCTATCAGTTGATGTGAGGCCTCCCAAAAGTCAAATATATCACATAAAACAGATCAATCAACAATGAATTTTGTCTATATATAGTATGGAGCCGGGAAAAAAATATGACTGGCCTAGAATAGAAGGGCATTTGACCCCTCCTAGCTTCATTGAGCACACACTCCAGTGCCACCTGTCATTACCACCTGGACCTGCCTCTGCCTCACAGTATCTCCCAGACAAAAGTACCCTAACTAGCAGAGACTGTAGATAAATCCCAAGGCTCTTTTGGGGGTGCTGATTCCTTTTTTGGGTCACTTGGCAGGCACTAGAAAGATGCAGATCAGAAATTGCAAGACAACAAGGAGTTTCTTGAATTCAAATTCCTTCCGCTAGTGCCTGAGGTCCGGAGGAAGAACGCAGCAGCTTCACTGCAAAAGGGAAAGTGTAAGGAAGTGGCCCAAGGAGAGAAGTGGAAAACCCTGGGGAAAAAGTTAGACTCCCAAAGGAATGGACGGGTGAAAAGAGAAAATCATATCTTTTGTGCAGTGTAGCTTTAAACAGATGGGTGTTTCTCTGTGTCGCGCCTGGAACTCCAGACCGTGGGGCCCGAGTGAGGAGGCTGGTAGAAAATCAAGGTTGTGGAAACCCGCACAAATCAGAAGGTGTCATTAATTTTCGGGTGGATTTCGTGAATCGTTTATAACAGTTGGTTGGAGTTCACCGATGCGCGCTGGATGAGGCGCAGGGAATTTAAGTTAATGGACACACTACGCGTCCTGCTCGCAAAAGTTCACAAATCTGTTGGACCATGAACGGGTGAAAAAGAAAAAACAATCTAGGGGACTTAAAGCCATAAAAAAGTTGGGGATATAACCACATTCTAGCCCACCTGAACTACTCAGTCTTTCCACTTCTTTGTTTTGAAAATATTAACTCGGCTGGGCTCGGTGGCTCAGCTTGTAATCCCAGCCCTGTGGGAGGCCGAGGCGAGTGGATTGCCTGAGCCTAGGGGTTTGAGACCAGCCGGCAATTTGGCGAGACCCCGTCTCGACAATAAATCAAAAATTAGCTGGGCGTGGTGGCGCTTGGTTGTAGTTCCTGCTGCTTGGAAGGCTGAGGCGGAAGGATCGCCGGAGACTAGCAGATGGACGCTGGCGTGGCCGTGAGTGTGCCACTGCACTCCAGCCTGGGCCACGGAGTGAGACTCCAACTCAAAACAAAAAGAAAAAATTAACTCTCACTACGTCTATACCACGCTGAGCGTGCCCGGTCTCTTGTAAAAATATTAACTCCATTAGCATTATTTTCATGAATTATATTAGGAAGCGAAAGAAGTCCTTTCTGGCCTCCCACCTCTGCATTAATTTTAATCAATAAATCAATAAATCTTCAATTCAAACAAACTCGTAGACCTTTTCAAACCTGCAGGTTCTGACTGGGGAACTCACAAAAATGCCTCCTTCCCCAAAGGTTATGTCTAGTCTTTGCCTGTGGTGAGTTTAACTCTCAGAACTAGGGACTGCAGGCACTGCCCACAATGGAAAGATTCAATATGTTGATAGCAACATATCAGACTTTAAATAAAAGTCAAAGCCCTTTCCATGCCTTATCAGCAGGGTTGAGTATCTAATAACTTCTCTCTTCTCTTCGAATTCAAGTGCTTTCATTCCACTCTCCTCTAGCCTTACTGACTGTTGATGTTCCTTGAAGGTGCCAGTCAGGTGTCTTTACACCTGCTGTTGCTTGGGCTAGGAACCCTCTTACCCTAGATCACCTCATGATACCCCAGCTCCTCATTCTCGCCTCAACTCTTTTTCCTGTCTCCCTCCCTCCCCCTTGCTCCCTTACCTCAACTCTTAATGTCACATTCTTAGGGAATTCTTTCCTGGGCAGAAAATTAATTGATACATGCATTATTAATAATTCAACCATGGAATTACTCACTACATAGTGAATGAGCATCTATCAAGTGTCTTGAAGTAGTTTAGGTGTTATGGGTGCACCAGTGAACAAAACAGACAAATTTTTTTTCTCACAATAAACTTATTTCCTGAAGAATAGTCTAGGAGCTAAATGCAATAAAATATGATTACTGTCAGGGAGTAACAACAGTAAGAAAGAATTCTGAGGCAGAAGCAAGCCTGTTATGTTCAAAGAACCATAAGGAGTCTAAGGAGATTGTGGGTCAGAGAGTCTAGGGGGAGTGATGAGGAGCAGAAATGGGGGAGGAGGTTGGACTGGAAAACAGACAAGGTGAAATTGATGGACAAAGACTGGAGCACAGACAGGAAAATTGAAAAAGATGTGGGAGAAGGGGTGCTGAAGAGCAAAGAGAGGGAGAGACAGAGTGCTGGGACAACTGAGAGGGACTGAAATTAGGCTGAGGAGCATAGAGTGTTACTTTATGCTATTTTATATGGGTGGTTAGATAAAAACTATCTGGTAAAGTAAAATATGAACAGATAATTATAGAAAGTGATAAAATAAGACTTATAATATTTGGAGAAAAAGCATCCCAAATGAGAGCAAAAATTATAACAAAAAAGTGTGGCTGATATGCTTGTGAAATATTAACCCAATGTGGCTGAAGCACTGAGCCCAGGACTGATGAGCAGGAGATGAAGTCAGTAAGGTAACAGGAGTCAGGTCATATGGAGCTTTGAAAAACATTTTTAAAACTTTCAATTTTACTTTGAGTTAGATGGGGGGCCAGGGAAGTGTCCTGAACTAAAGAGTAAATGATTCGGCTTATGTTTAATAGGATCTCTCTTTCCAGTGAGTGGAGAATAAATCATGAGGCAGAAACAGGGAGACTGGCTAAGAGGCTTCTGTGATATCCCAAGCCAGAGTTGATGGTGGCTCAGAAGTAGTAGTACTGATGGTGGTAAGAAGTCATCAGGTTCTGGATATATTTTTAAAGCAGAACCAATAACATTACTTGATGGGTTATCCATTCATTCAACAAATGTGTATTGATTCCTCACTATGTGCATTGTTCTAGAAATTAAACATTTGGCAATGGGCAAAATAAATGAAAACCCCTACCCTACTGGAGCTTTCTAGTTAGAAAGACAGACTATGAGCCACATAAATTTTTAAAAATATATCATATATATAATTTTTTTAGGGGTGGGGGAGACTGGAAAACAGACAAGGTGAAATTGAGGGATAGAGAAGGGAGTACAGACAAAATGAACAATTGAGGGATAGAGAAGGGAGTACAGACAAAATGAACAATTGAGGGATAGAGAAGGGAGTACAGACAGAAAGGGATGTGGGAGAAGGGGTACTGAAGAGCAAAGAGAGGGAGAGACTGAGTACTAGGACAACTGGGAGGGACTGAAATTAGGCTGAGGAGTACAAGGAGAAGACAGAGTCTGAGGGCAACAGAGTTCAAGAGAAGCCACCGAGGTAAAGAGAGGCAGAGAATGAAGTACAGTAAGGCATAGAAAGGGGGAGTCTGAAGGGAAAGACTGAAGGATGGAGAGGAAGTCACTGAGGCACAGTCTCTTGAGAGTTAGAGGGATGGATAGACTAAGAGGCCCAGAGAAAAGACACTGGGTATTCAAGTGCCACATCAGCAACCTCTACATACAGACTCTGGCGTCCCTGCCCGCTTTAGTGGTTCTTACAGACGCTTGACCTGCCAGGAAAGGCATCTGAAAAGAAATCTGAGCTTCTGAAGAAAGATGATGTATTTAAAGCCCAACCCCTGGGGCCAGGATAAAGGTGAGTGGGGGAGAACAGAGCACCTAGAGCACTGGACAACATGGCCATTGGGCCTGTCCTGTGGCTGGGCCCTCTGTTCATGATTTCCTTCTGGAGGCTGTCAGCTCCAGGTAAGAGGGAGCTGAGGGTCAAGCAGGGCATCCTAAGAGGGCTGGCCTGACTATCTCCCCTCCATGTCCCACAGCCTTCCTTCTTAGGCATCTGGGTGAGCACATTCAGAGATTTCAAGAGAGCTCTGGCCTGGGCCTTGGTCTAGGTCTGGGGACAGGTGCTATGGCTCTCCCAAAAGTAGGATGGCTGGAGCAGCAGCTTGACCCCTTCAATGTATCTGACAGACGATCTTTCCTGCAGGTAAGACCAAGAGAAGGGAAATCCACTGCTCACCCTGCCCTCTCCTCAGTCTCCCTCCTCTGTCCCTCGCTTTTTGCCTTTTCTGTATGCCTTAGTCTCCCCATCCCTATGCTGTCAATATCCCCTTCCAGTGCTCTGTTTCTTAGATTCAGACTTGGCTCACAACAAGCACTCAAAGATGTCTATTGAGTGAATGAACAAATTCTCCATTTTTCAGTGCATCCTCTGCTCATCCCACTTGGTACCTATTCCTAAACCTGACTACATTCAGAAATAATAAGTGACTAGCATGTGCCAGCCATGCCCCCTCAGTCCTGAAATACAAGATTGAAAAAACAGACCAAAATACTTGCTTTTGTAGATCTTCCATTCTAGAAGGGGAGATACACTAGAGAGAAGTAAACATATAAACAAACAAGCACATTTCAGATACTACTAAGTCCACAGAAAAGATTCATTAGGAAGAGAGACTGGAAAAAATGAAGAATTAGGAATAAGTCAGGACTTTCACATTGCAATTTATTTTTCTCCATCCTACCTTGTAGCGTTACTGGGTGAATGATCAACATTGGACTGGCCCATATGGACCCATATTTCTGCATCTGGGGGGTGAGGGGAGCCTCGGACCTGGCTCAGTTATGAGAGGTAAGAAGCAAGGGTGGGGAAGGATATGTTTGGGAAGTTGGTGGGGACCAGGAAAGGGAGCTTCATGTTGCAATTCTGTGACACCTGAGGGATGCAAGGACTTAAACCCAACCACACACTCTTCACAGGACACCCGGCAGCCCTGGCCCCAGCCTGGGGGGCCCTAGTCATCGGCCTGGAACACAGATTTTATGGCCTGAGTATACCTGTTGGGGGTCTGGAGATGGCCCAGCTCCGCTTCTTATCCAGCCGTCATGCGTGAGTTGGGGTAGCAGAAGTGATTGTGGTAATAGGATGGGAACGTCTGTGTCTCTCTCCACCATGGCCTGAAGTCAGTCTCTAAGTCTCTAGTTTCCTCTGTTTTATTCTTTGTCTTTCATAGTGTCTTATTCTTTCTCCATCTCTGGTCTCTCATCTCTTGGTCTCTGTCTATATATCTCTATATTTCTATCTCTAGAATTCTCTTACCCTGTAATATTATCTCTGTGCCTATCTTACTGTCTGAAGTAGGCTACTGTCTCACTGTGGCTTACTGGTGCAGACCATCATCATTGTCTACCCCACTCATATAAACACTCCCCACCATTCCCCCTCCCCGTTTTATTTTACCTGCTTTTTTGTTTCTTTACCTACTTTATTGTTCTCCACAGGACTTATCCTTTTTAGTGTACTCTGTCTCTATATCAGTTTCTTTGTTTGTCTCTGTCTCATTCTTGTCTCCATCTCTCTGTGTCCATGTTCATGTCTTTGTCTCACTCTATATCTCAATCTCCTCTACAAGCTAACCAGTTTCTAATTGCATGCAGCAGAATGGCAGCGAACCGTTTCAGAAAGGTTGGGGAACAAAGAAAGCCTTTAGGAGGGGAAAAATGATGTTAGTCATATCCCAGAATTGCTCTCCATTTTTCTTTGTGTCTCTCCCCTCCCCCAATACTCTCTATCCCATCCGGCTTAGGAACCCCTCCTCCTTCTCTGAGAAGTCCTCCTCGACAGACCCTAACCTTTTCCTATATTTGTCAGGTTATCATCTAAACTGTCTCGGAAATTTTTCCTCTCCTACCAAAAACAGGAAGGGAAGGCGTATAGAGTCTTTCTAGAAAGAAGGCCAGGACGGAGTCTCCCTTGGCCTAAGCACACGTGCTTTCTGAAATGTATGTGGCAGTGGAAAGCCAAGCACATCAGAAGAAAAGAGCCCTTGCTTCTGGCCAGATCGCCCCCCCCCCCCACTCATGTCTCTGGGTCCCGGTTTCCCCGTCTGTGCAGTCGGGCGTCTTCAGGGATTCCCAGCGATGAGGACCACCGAGCTTCTCCCCTCTGACCCCAGGTTGGCTGACGTGGTCTCTGCCCACCTGGCACTCTCCCGTCTCTTCAACGTCTCCTCCTCCAGTCCCTGGATCTGCTTCGGAGGCTCCTATGCCGGCTCCTTGGCCGCCTGGGCCCGGCTGAAGGTCCCCGGGACTCCTCCGGGAGGGCTGGGGGAGGCAACTCGTGCTCCGGGGTCCCAGTCTCAGATACTAGGGATACCTTCCCACAAGCCCCTCCCTCCTCCCACCCCTCCAGAGCTTTTCACGGCTGTCTTCACAACAACCCGGGATCACATAGCCAGTGAGTGACACCGGGGCAGGAAGACATGGGGACCCAGTCTCCCAGCCCCCGGAGTTGAGGTAGCAGAGTTGTCAAACTTCTCCTTCCTTAGTTCCCCCATCTCATCTTCGCCTCCGTCGCCTCCTCCGCCCCGGTGCGAGCAGTGCTGGATTTCTCCGAGTACAATGAAGTAAGGACGGTGGGCGGCAGGTGCGGAAGGAGGGTCCCAAGAGGACGCAGTCCCCTGACACTTCCCTGACCCCATCTGCGGTCCGACTACAGGTGGTGTCCAGGAGCCTAACCAGCACGGCGATTGGCGGGTCTCTGGAGGTAGGAGGCGAGGCCTAGTCCGAGGGGGGATGGGGAGAGAGAGAGAGAGAGAGAGAGAGAGAGAGAGTCCTTGGAAGCCGGGGGCCAAAGTGGAAGGGGATTGAGGGAGGTCGGAGCCCCAGAACAAACACAGATTTTGGAAGAAGGCGGGGACTGCGTAAGAAGCCGGGAATCCAGAAGAGAGGCGCGCCCCAAGCGGGGGACAGGGCTTGGGGAGGGCGATCCTATCCGGCGGATGGGGCTCCCTGTGGGGCGGTGCCGCAAAAGACGGCGGGGCCTGGAGGGACGGCCTGGAGGAGGGGCCAGAGGGGGCAGTGCCTCGGGTCGCAGGAGTCCGACTGAGAGAAAGTGCGGAACCCAGAAGGACGCAGGCTCTCGAAAGGGAAAGCCGAGGCCAAGCCCGGGGCTTGGCCGACCAGAGCCTCTCGCTCCTCGCAGTGCCGGGCGGCGCTGTCCGCCGCCTTCGTGGAAGTGGAGCGGCGGCTGCGCGCGGGCGGGGTGGCTCGAGCAGCGCTGCGGACGGAGCTAGGCGCGTGCGGGACCCTGGACCGAGCTGAAGACCAGGCGGAGCTGCTGGGGGCGCTGCAGGCGCTGGTGGGAGGCGCGGTGCAGTACGACGGGCAGGCGGGAGCGCCGCTGAGCGTGCGACAGCTCTGTGGATTGCTCCTCGCGGGCGGAGGCAACCGCAGCCACCCCGCGCCCTACCGGGGGCTTCGTCGAGCAGTGCAGGTGAACACAGCTTGGCGCGGCGGGGAAGAATTAGCACGTAAAGATTCCTGCTCCACTTCCGCTGTGGCAAGCAAGAATCCTCTCTGAGCCTTAGCTTCCCCATCTGTAAAATGGGGATGGATACTTCACAGGGCCGGTGGGAGGGTGAAATGAAGTGGATCATGTAAAGCAAATGCTAGATACTATTATCTGTAGTGCCTGGCACATAACAAGTGCTCAATTAGTATTTATAGAATGGAGCCGGTGCCTCACGCCTGTAATCTCAGCACTTTGGGAAGCAGAGGCGAGAGGACTATTTGAGCCCAGGAGTTCGACACTAGCCTGCGTGGCAACATGGCCAGACCTCGTCACTACAATAAATTTAAAAAAAAAACGTAGCCGGGCATGGTGGTGTGAGCCTGTAGTTCCAGCTACTTGGAAGGCTGAGGTGGAAGTGCCACTGCACTTCAACCTAGAAGGCAGAGTGAAACTCCAACTCAAAAAAAAAAAAAAAAAGAATGAATGAAAAAGTGTAGCCTTGGAGATAGGGCTGTATTGGGGACCTGAGACCTAGCCTCCTAACCCACAATTATAATCCAGCTGTCACATTTCCAGCACTGTCTGGACCAACACTGCTGTATGAAGGGCTTCACATATTGAATTTTTAAGAAATAGGCAACTATTATTAATTCCCACTTACAGAAGAGAAAACCAACGTCCGAAAGATTATTAACTTGCCCAAGGTCTCGCAGGTAATAAGGTCCCAATCTTCTAGTGCCTTGACCTCTGACTCATAGGGACCCAGGCCTTTAGCTCACAGGGACCTTTCTATTGCTGACTTTTGACTTGTAAGAACATAGGCCTCTGGCTTGCTAGGAGGAGAGGAGGAATTTATGCACATATATATGTATTAATATTGTTCCCTAGATGGTCATGCACAGCGTGGGCCAGAAGTGTTTAAGCTTTTCCCGAGCAGAAACAGTGGCACAGCTGAGAGCTACAGAACCCCAAGTTTATGGCGTGGGTGACCGGCAGTGGTTGTACCAGACATGTACTGAATTCGGCTTCTGTGAGTGACTGCCCTAACCCTTACCTCCAAAATGTACATTCTGTGATATGCTCAGAGAAGTCATCTTACAGGTGGTCTGGACTCATTTTTACTTCCTCAGTACAACTGATCTGACTCCTAGGCCTCATGTAACCTGCAGATCTTGGACTGGCGAGGGTAGAAGCCATGCATAAGTGGCCTTCACATGCCTCCTCATGCCTCCTCACACACACACTCAGGCCTTCACATAAGTGATCTTCTCTTTAACCTGCTCTTTCTCTGTGTTCCTGTTCCAGGAATGGCCCTATCCTTTCTCCAATCACAAAACTAGAAGCCTGAGCCTTGTTTAAGTTGCTTCCTTCCCATTCCAGATCCTGTCAGTGACTGAGCCCTGCTCATTCTGCATCCTAGACAACTCTCTAGTTCATCCTTTCTCTTTTTATTCCTACCTCTGTTATCCTAGTAGAGACTCCCATCTTTTCCTGCCTGGATCTTTGCTCCAGCCACTCTCTGGTCTTCAGGCTTTCACTCCATCTGTGGAATTCAGCTTCCTCACAGCATTCAGAGAGATCTTTTAAAATATGATGTTGTCCTTCCTCTGCTCAAAATGGTGGCTTTTTAGTCACTACAGGATGGGGTTGCCAGTAAAATACAGGATTCCCAGTTAAATTTGAATTTCAGATAAAAAACAGATTTTCTTTAATATAAGAGTATCCCACATATTACATATACTTTTGAAAGGGAGTTTTTGTTTATCTGAAACTCAAATTTAACTGGGTATCCTTCATTATTTTGTTAAATCTGGCCACCCTACATCAGAGTTAAGTTCAACATGCTTTCCGCATCCTCTAAGGCAGTAAGCATAGCAGTTTGTTTGTTTGAATTGGGGGTCTCACTCTGTCACCTAGGCTGAAGTGCAGTGGCATGGTCACTGTCCACTGAGCCTCAACCTCCTGGTCACTCAGATGACCGCAGAATTTCGTTTCAGCCTCAGCCTCCAGAGTAGCTGGGACTACAGGTACACACTGTTACAAGAGGCTAATTTTTATTATTTTTTTTGTAGAGACAAGGTCTCACTTTGTTGCCTAGGCTGGTCTCGAACTCCTGGGCTCAAGGAGTCCTCCCCCCTTGGCCTCCCAAAATTCTAGGATTACAGACATGAGCCGCTGCATCTGGTGTCCAGATCCATTTTCTATCTGTGTGATCTTGGAGAAACTTGGTCAAGAGATTTACCTCTTTATGCCTCAATGTTCACATTTATAAAATAGGAATAATAAAAGTACTTCTCTCATAAGGTTGTTTCAAGATTTAAAGAGGGTAATATATGTAACATGCTAAGAATAATGCACATATGCAGTAAGTATTCTATAAACTCTGACTATTATTATGACAAGGCTTTATATATTTTACTGCCTTAATACACCAGTCTTCCTAGCATCTTAGGAACTTTGCTTATGCTGTTCACTTAATTGTATTACTCATCTCTCTTCACATGACTTACTCATCTTCAAGTCTCTGCACAAGTTATCTCTCCTCCTCAGGAAGCCTTCCCACCTCCCACTTTGATAGCTCTGTGTTTTTCTCTTTAGCACTTTCCATAGTCTGTCATTATACATTTTTTATTGCCTGTCTCCCTCTCTGGACTGAGTCCTGTGACAGCAGAACCTGGGGCTGCCTTGCTTGTCACTGTGTGTCCAATGTTGTCCAGCATATATCTGAGCAACATGGTAGATACTCCATAAATAGTGAAGGAAGGAATGAATTAATCTGATGTTAAGGAAGTTAGATTTACCGTGAAAGCACAGTGAGCTATGAATTTTAAGCAGGTGAGACATAGTACAATTTCAGCTTTAAAAACTCCAGGCTCCCTCTTATCTCCAGACTTTTGCACATACTGTTTTCTCTATTTATTATGCCTTCTCTTCTATCTCTTTGTTTGGCTCAGTCCTACTAATTCCTTGAGGTCTTGTCCCTTGTAGGATGCTCTCCCTGGGCCCATCATATTTCCTCTGGGATTCCTGCCTTATGGCTATTGCCATCACAGCCCTGATCACTCTGACCTGTCACTGACTGAGGATGTGTAGGTCTCTCTGCCAGGACTGTGAGCTCCTTGAAGAGAGAGGACCAGAAATGTCATGGCCATGATGGGGAGCTCTGTAAATGGTTACAAAAGAAGAGTGGGAAGCTGGTTATATACCCCACACTTACAGATATCTCCCTCCACAGATGTCACCTGCGAGGATCCTAGATGTCCTTTCTCCCAGCTCCCAGCACTGCCCTCCCAGCTAGACCTATGTGAACAGGTGTTTGGGCTTTCAGCCTCATCTGTAGCCCAGGCTGTGGCCCAAACAAACTCCTATTATGGTGGCCAGATGCCTAGGGCCACCCAAGTGCTGTTTGTTAATGGTGAGCATGTTGTCAAAACCTGGCTTCTAAGCCTCGACCTAGCCCCAGCTTAACATACCATCCTCTCCTTTCTTTCCAGGAGACATAGACCCCTGGCATGTGCTAAGTATAACACAGGCCTTGGGCTCCTCAGAGTCGGCTCTTTTAATCCCTGCTGCCTCCCACTGCTTGGACATGGCACCTCAGAGGCCCTCAGACTCCCCTAGCCTCCTCCTAGGGCGCCAGGTAAGAGAGTAATAATTTACAGGCTCTGAATAATTTGCATACTCATTTGCATGTCCCCTCCTTCTTCTAGTGCTGGGATCTGACTTTTAAAATTCTCCTCACCTTTCCATAGAGCATCTTCCAGCAAGTGCAGACCTGGCTCAGGCTGGCAAAGGAGAGCCAGGTTAAGAGTGGGCTCTGAGTCCTACACCCTCGCCACTCCCTGCATGGCCACCTCAGCCCTGGACATATTCATTCACTGGACAAAAGAAAGCAAGAAGAAATTCCCAGGAACTGGGATTTAACACCTGTTCTGGAAATAATTGACTTATGACTGCTAACATTCTCACTCCCAACTAGAAATACTTTGTTTCAGATACAAAGTTGTATAAATATAAGTACATGATTATTCTCATTGTGAATACTGTATTTTGAATGTTAAATGTAAAAGAAATGTGGCTTCTCATGCTGGTGCCCTCCCCCTTACTGATCAGATTCTGGCTCAAATTCTGCCACTCAGCTCCTGGGCTAGGGACCTTGCTGCAAGTTTCTCTCTTTGGACCTCAGACCCTGACCCATCTCTTCTCACTGTTTCTCTCACTGTATCCCTCTCCCTCAGTCTCTTCCTATTTTTTTTTCTCTGTCACAATGTGTCTTTCTCAATCTCCTCCTATTTCTCTGAATATCTTCATTTCTGTCTTTCTGTGTGTCTTAGTCTATTTCTCTGTTTATTTTTCAATCTCTCAATCTGTGTTTCATCTTTTGGTAAGTGTCTTTGTCTCTCCTTTCTCTCTTGCTCTCTTAGTTATCTCCATGGCTCTATTTCTGACTCTCATTCTTGGTCTCTGTGTTTCTCCTAGTCACTTTATCTCTCTTTCTATCTCTTTTTCTGTTTCCCTCTATTCAGACTTTTTCTATCTCTCCTCCACTGTCTTCTCAATCTCACTGTCTCCCTGAGGCTCAGAGGCCTGTCTGTTTCTGTCTCTGACACTCCTTCTGTCTCTATTTCTCTTCCTGTCACTTAATCTTTGTCCTTCTCTGCGCCCCCCCCCCTTTAGTCTTCTTTCCCCATCCTTCACTTACCACCTCTTCTCACAATCAAATGTTGCTCTTTGGCACGTCCGGCTTCCAATCCTAGGGGTTCAGAGTTCTGATGAGGCCCCCCTCCTATGAGCTTAGGAATGGGGTGGAGCTAATCCCAAGGGTGCTTGTTTAACTTGCACTAGCTGTGCCAACAGTGCCATGTCACTCCTCTGAGCAGCAGCCACCAGGAACAGGAAGTAGCAAGTAAGGGGAACTGCCTCTAGGGAGCTGAGAAGTAGGAGAAGTAAAGGGAAGGCAAACAAGGAGATGCTGGTAAGAGAAGCCATGAAACCCATTTTTCTGTGAGGAAATCTGGCTTTCTTGACTATGATAATAAACTTTCTTTCTTCATCTGAGGGCTAACCTCAGCCCTGCTCCCCAAGAACTACCCTGGACCCCATATTGCCCTTTAACCACAGTCTCTTATGCTAAGATACAAGCTCAGCACCTCCCTTTATATATTTAGCCCATACACCAGGGCCTTACACATTATGGATGTTCAGTATCTGTTAAGAAATGATAGGATGAGGCTGAGCATAGTGGTTCATACCTGTAATCCCAGCACTTTGGGAGGCCAGGGCAGGAGGATCACTTGAGCTCAGAAGTTCGAGACCAGCCTGAGCAACACAGCAAGACCTCATCCCTACAAAAAAATAAAACAAGTAGTCATGTGAAGTGGCAGGTGCCTATAGTCCCAGCTACTCAGGAGTCTGAGATGAAAAGATCGCTTAAGCCCAGGAAGTCAAGGCTGCGGTAAGCCTTGATTATGCCACTGCACTCCAGCCTGGGTAACAAAGTGAGAATCCATTAATAAATAAATAAATAAATAAATAAATAAGAAAATATAGAATGATGTCTAACCTCAACTCTTCACATACTCTTGGTTTTCCTCCTACTGCTGGGTACTCCTTCTCTTCATCCCTTTTGCAAACTTCTTTTCAATTTGATATCTGAATGGACTTGGGTTTAGTGCTAGTGTAGGAGGGAAAAGATAATTTTTTTCTTTACTTTTTTAGGTTATTAGTTGAGCCAGTCTCTTGAAATCAAAAGATAAATTAACAAAAGAAAAACAAGTAGAAGTTTATTAACATGTGCTGTACTCATTATGCAGGAAAGATCTCAGTTCAAATATATTTTCCTCTCCAGGCAGTGGTTTAGGGACCTAGCTTAAATTGTATTTTAACAAAGAACAATGAATCCTGTATTGTGACAAGACAAAGAAGAGAGTATCTTCATGCTTCCAAAAGGCAAGAAAATGTGGGAAGGTAAATTTATGGAGACAATAAATTCAGTTCCTGGATCCTCTGGTGCCGCTATCTCTGAGTGCTATTTCTGAGCTGACAGAGGTAGAGAGGAGGGGCAGAGTGTGTCCCTGTGTTTTAACCTTTTAGCTTTAAATAAAATCCCCAGTATTTTAGAGAAGAATATTTCGATTTTCTTCTTTAGGCTACCTTTTCTTCTCAGGCATTCTTGAAGCTTCCCTACCAGTGTGCCTACAGTACCAGTGTGCCTATGGTACCAGGCCTAGCTTTCAGATGTGACAACCTCAGTATTTAGGGCAGTCCAGGGTCTGGAGTGGCCTGAGGACACAGGCTGGTCACACTCAACTGAGCAGCTTCTTTTTTTTTCACCCAAATTATTGTCTGTATGTAGAAAACAATGGAAAATTCTGAGAAGTTTTTCCTTGCAAGCTGTTCTCCTTGCCCCTCCATCCATTGTCCCCCTGGTTGTCACAGTGATTCTTTAAAAGGTAAATCATATCATGATATTCCCCTGCTTAAAACCCTCAAATAACTTTGCACTACAGCTAAAACCAAGTCCAAACTTTTTACCATGGCTCCAAGACCCTGCATACTTTGGCTTCTGAATTCTTCTCTGACTTCATTTCCTATCATTATCTATGCTGCATGCTAACCACAAGGCCTCCTTTTGGTAACTTAAAATCTAAAGCCTGTTCCTATCTCAGGGCCTTGCAATAGCTGTTCTCACTACCTAGAAGGTCGTTCCCTTTAATAACCTTTAAATGGCTGCTTTCTTCATAACGTTCAGTTTCAACGCAAATGTCATCTCCTCCAAGAGGCCTTCCCTGGCTGCCTCCATACTTCAATCACTCCTTATCACACAACCTGTTTTTATATGTTTCCTAGCCATAAACACAATCTGAAATTATCCTGTTTTATTTTTCATTTTTATGCAACCCCTCTGTACTATAGTGTACTAGATGAAAGAGTGAATTGTGCTAGTCTAGTAAAGAAATTTATATGAATTCCATAATTTACAACATATACAGTTTTTGTTGTTGTTGTTGTTTTGAGTAGGAGTCTCACTCTGTTGCCCAGGCTGGAGTTCAGGAACACACTCCCATCCACTGCAGCCTTGACCTGCTGGACTCTGGCGATCATTCTGCCTTAGCCTTCTAAGTAGCTGGGACTACAGGCATGCACCACCATACACATTTTTTTTTTTTTAAGTTGGAGTCTCACTTTGTCGCCCAGGCTGGAGGGCAGTGGCTCGCTCACAGCCACCCCAGTATTGACCTACTGGGCTCCAGTGATCCTTCCCCCTCAGCCTTCCAAGTAGCCGGAACTACAGGCGCACCCTACCAAGCCCAGCTAATTTTTTTGATTTATTGTAGAAATGAGGTCTTGCCAAGTTGCCCAGGCTGGTTTCAAACCTGTGGGTTCAAGCAGTCCTCTCACCTCGGCCTCCCAAAGTGTTGGGATTATAGGCATGAGCCACCGCACCCGGCCATCTACAGTTTTTATATGAACATTATTTTCCAGAAGCTCATCAATTTGCTGGGTCAAAGATTGCAAAACACTTTACAGGAGGGGAGATTGGTGTGTGTGGGGGGGGATTTGTAGTTGATCTGCCTATTACTTTCATTTATGGGTTATGCTGGCATCATTGAAAAGATTTGAATTTTACCGAAGATAAACAGTGTTGAGGAATTTAGAAGCATTGTGTTCTGATGATCCCTGGTTTGTCCCACATAATTTCATCCTTAGCTGTAATCAAGTAGTCTTCTGTTCTGGACACTGTGTTTGAGTCCAGGTATTACCTTCTCCCAGAAGCAAAAACTCCAAGGACTTGTGAATATGCCTACTCTATGTTCCCTCGCTGGACCACGTTCTCAACATCACACAGTAGAAGTCTCTTAACACCTGTGAAAAGAAGGAAATATAGAAAAGAAGAAAAAAATCTCTTCAACTGAGTCTAGAGAAGAACTAAGATGGAGGGCTCACACTATCTGATCAAAAGATGTCTTATAAAGCTCTAGTAATTGAGAAAATGTGACTTTGGAATTAGCATATAGACAAAAAAATCAATGGGGCAAGACAGATATGAGAAACACACACATTCAAATTACCAAAGGAGAGGTTGATTAGTCAAGGCTCTGCTGGCCAGCGGCCACTTGCAGGGAACTAGTTCCGAGCAAGGGCCCCAAGCTGCAACACAGGGCTGTCTTATGTAGTTTAGATTTATATTCTGGTGGGCTAAAGATGGAACTGGGGACTTCCCAGGGCTCTTATCACAACATTCTGGAGGCGTGGGCAAGCAAACAAGTTTACAGAAGCAGATGCAGTTGGTTATGCAGGTGTGGCGGATAAGGGTACAATTAATTGCGTAATGTCTGCAGAGAAAGTTTCCAGGAAAGGAGTAATGCCTGCCTCAAGGTTAGAGCTATTCCTGCTTTTCCCCTTTACACTTCTTTCTTTATTCTCTTTGTTCCTTCTTACAGTGGCAATGCAAGTCATAGAGAAAGGAAATTCTTTTAAACAAATGATCCTGGAATAATTGGATAAAACTTGGGGAAAAAACACACATCCATCTCACCGCATATATAAAAATTAATATAGATGAAATATATAGAAAAAATAGGATAATATCTTCATGAACTTGCAGTAGGCAATTTTTTAAGAGAGTATAAAATCGGATAAAATACATAAAAGGGACAAATTAGACATTATTAAAATTAAAAACTTCTGCTCATTAAAATGTATCATTAGGCAAGGCACTATGGCTCAAGCCTGTAATCCTAGGACTTTGGGAGGCTGATGCAAGAGGATTGCCCGAGCTCAGGGTTCAAGACCAGCCTGGGCAACTTGATGAGACCTTGTCTCTACAATAAATCAAAAAATTAGCCAGGCGTGGTAGCACGTGCCTATAGTTCCAGCTACTAGGAAGGCTAA